GTGTGTGTGTGTGTGTGTGTGTGTGTGTGTGTGTGCGTGTGTGTGTGTGTGTGTGTGAGTGCGTGTGTGCGTGTGTGTGTGTGTGTGTGTCTGTGTGTGTGTTTGTGTGATATATGAGTGTGATGTGTGATGTGTGATGTGTGATGTGTGATGTGTGATGTGTGTGTGTATGTGTGTGTGTCTGTCTGTGTGTGTGCTTGTGTTTGTGTGTGTGTTTGTGTGTGTGTTTGTGCGTGCGTGAGTGTGTCCGTGATGTGTGATGCGTGTGTGTGTGTGTGTGTGTGTGTGTGTGTGTGTGTATGTGTGTGTATGTGTGTATGTGTGTGTGTGTGTGTGTGTGGGAAGAGTTGCGCAGACCTGCGTGCGGGACGTGGGTGGGAAGAACTGCATGAGGGATAGGGGAGGCACAGATCTGCGCTCGGGAGAGTCCAAGAGCGCGCACGCGCGCGAGAGAGAGAGAGAGAGAAAAAGAGGTGTGTGTGTGTATGTGTGTGTGTGTGTGTGTGCGGCGTGTGCCGGGGAGGGGAGGGAGGACCCCTCCCCCACCAATCAATCAATCAATCAATCAATCAATCAATCAATCAATCAATCAACCAATCAATCAATCAATCAATCAATCAACCAATCAATCAATCAATCTACGATTTTTTTTTTTCTATTTTGTAAATTAATTTTGGTACTCAGCAAAAACCAACCCCCCAAAAACATAATTTTTTTTTTTTTTTTTTTGCAGTCGATAGAGGAGGACATGCGCAGGCCGATGTCGCGCGCTGATTTCCCGCGTGCGCCCTCACATGAGTGTGGCGAGGCCACGAAGAAACTCGATCGTGCAGCCTCGGTCACAGGCCCGAGGTCGGCCTCCTAGGTCGCGAACTGGGCCGTAGGATGTGCAGCCTAGGGGGTCACATAGGCAAAGGGTACCGTTGATTGATATTTACTCTCGATCGTATGTGCATGTTGATTGTTTCAGGAACATGCCTCTCCTGATGTCTTATGGATTCCCGACTTGGTGCAAGGTGACAAGGTTTGTCTTGCATGCTTCAAAGCACCCCCTCGCCCCACGCAAGCGCTTATTGCTTACACGCAGAAACAGTTAATTGTGACGGTTAGGAGTAGATCTGAATCGCCTAGTGTTGATCAACTACCGCTGATCCATCACTTGTCGCTTTGTGATTGGGCTGAGCTCATTCATACGTATCGTTACAATAGAGGCAGGTATGTTGATCTGATCAATAGTCTTGCGAGGGCTACCGCCCGTAAGCGCTGTGAGGGAATGGAGGAGGATAAGAGTTTGAGAAGATGACGATTGATGGCGAAGCGGTCTTTGTTTGACTATAACAGGCCGACTCACCCTTCCCTAGTACGAGGCAGGAGGAGCCACCGAAGGAGAAAGGGAAATCGCAGATGGACGATGAGGAGGATGAACTTACGGAATCCACCCCGGTGCTTAATGCCTTCCCCTGAGCATGATGCCTTACAAGCAAACTGTGGTCGGATCCCGGCCCCCATCCCCGACGTGGATCTATGAGAGCAGATTTGACGCAATCCACCGTTAGATCCACATCGGAGAGGCGGACCGGTCATCCTGCCGCTATTCCGTGTAGTCATGATGTGGGAGTTGACATCGCAAGAACCCGACGATGTTCCAACTGGGACGTGCTCTTGTTTCGTGATGTGCAGGTGCTTACCGACGGTTCCTTCGATCCCCTCCTTGACATGAGCATTTTTTTTTTTCGAAAACCTGCATGCATCCCATCACATGAAGATGAGAGATCGAAACATTTGCAATGTCACTATTGACGAAGTCGGGAGAAAAGGAGAGAGGAAAACATTTGCAGGTTGCCTGTTGTTTTCGTAAAGGTGAAGCTGAAGCAAAGTGCGATGGAATTGGYCGGCGTTCACACCAGAAGTGCGAATGAACTCGCACTTAGATGGAGAAGCAGGTGCGCACACCATCAGCGTGATGATTTAATATGGATGTTGGCTTGTCATTTGTCTATTACCCGGTGAATGTCATCAAGTCTTTGTGTGGAGAAGATACATATCCATTCCTATAAATAACTGTTGTCATCATCTTCAAGTTACCTGGTGTTTTTCTAAAGGTGAAGTTGCACACCACAAGAAGAGTTTCCATAAATCATTCAATGCAAAAAAATTATTCAATGACAAATTGCAAAGTACACAGTGACGTTTTCAAAAACAATCCAATACAGAATTGCAAAGTACACGGAAACTTTCCAAAATTTACAAAGTACATGGAGCCTTTCCAAAAATCATTGTAGGACACGTTCTAAGGCACATGTAGGCATTCCAAAAAACATTCCAGCCCATGTCGGATAGTCTACATGACATGCCCTTATGTACAGAAGACGCTTTCGTACAGTCTATATCACTCGCTCTCTTCGCCACAAGCCGAAAAGTCCTGCATTACACATGAAACAAACCCTACCTCTAATACGAACATGTCGAAGAGCTACACGAAAGTTGATTCACGCCGAAGACAAGCTACACGAAAGTTGATTCAAGCCGAAGACCTACATGAACGCTGATTCGTGCCGAAGTCCTGCATTAGACAAAAGGTCATCCGAACCCGACACGATGTTCACTCGCCTACACAAGTCCCAGACAGAAGCTCATCCAAACCCGACATGATGTCCAAAACGTGATAGGGTCAGACCCACTACAAAAGGAGTGAGGTGATAAATGGGAGTCGCATATAGAAACAGAATATCCTGAGACGATGAGTATCTTCGTAGCATGCGTCGGGTGAAAAGAGTTAATACGATCTTCATGGTAGCAGCATGTTCAGTCTTCGAGTAGCCTCCCGCGATCGTCATCGTTGCGCTCGTCTATGTTAAACTCGATTAAAAGAGCTTGGTTCGGGAATTCGGGTCTGAAGGTCTGCTTTGATATTTGGCAAGTCGCGCATGAGTATATCTCTTAAAACTCGATTCAAATTGCTCCAGTGACGGATTTGGAACGGACAACGGTCTCCCCAGAACGGGGGACGGTCATCATCTTCTCTCACGCCGGATACAAGGAATAATTTTCCATCCAAGCACGAGGCGATATGCATGATGAAGATCGATAAGAAAAACGTAATGGCAGGCTCACAACCTTCTTGCATTCTATCGAAAGATGTGCTGGTTACGTACGAATAATACAAACAGCTTCTCAACTCCCCTTCGGACGCAATGTAGATATCAGTTATAAAGACGGGCCTGTCGCGTAGCGTGACAATCACAATGTACTGAAAAGCTGGGGTAGGCGGGGGCGAAACAGACGGCTGGACACGAGCGCGAACGTCTTCGGGGACCAGAAGGTAGCGGTATCTGGGAAGCCCGATGTTGTTAAACCACTCTAAACCATAAATGTTATCAGCTGCGGCAACAATTGCACTTCGCAGACTTTCGCAGTAGCCGAGGTCTCTGACAACGACCGTCCCCCTGAAACTTCCAGACGACATCCTGCATCAGAAGAGAGAACATCGCCCTTGTCATATACGGAGAGGTGGGTAAACGGCGAAGTTGAGACCGTCTGATGTTGGCATAGTGCGAATGAACTCGTAATTAGATAGACAGTTTGTCATGCAACGGGGTATACCGGAGGGGAGGGGGCATAATGAACGAGAGATAAGTAAGGGGGCGAACATGAAATTCAACGGGCTGCAAGCATAGTGCGAGTCTACTCGCAGCAGAGAAAACACGAAGCAAGTAATTTAGAACGCCGCTATTGAAGATGTTGATGTCCAGCATCGCAGTAAGGGCAGTCGCACGCATATCTCGTCTTCCCGTTGCGCAGAGTCACTTCCTGAGGTCCGGAGGCTTAATAATCAAGATGGCGGTAAACAAATCGCAATTCATTGTTCCTATGTTCGACTGTGAAATTTATTTCGTCGCAGCTATCGAAGAGGTACTGAAGTTGTTGGTGCATTAAACAGTCAACCCGCAAATGCAGCTCATCTTTGAGTGCTTGATCTATGGCGAGCCTGTTTTTGAACCGTGCAAGGGAACCAGTAGGGCCGGATGTGTGAAACGCTTGAGAAGAAGTGAGTTTGACACCGTGAAATTCCTCCCTTGCAAGAAAAAGACCTCTCATTCGTCGACCGTCCACCTTCACGTTAGTGAAGAGCATCACGACGGTGGTGCCTCGATTACACACCCTCGCTCGACCGAAGTAGTCTATGATCACCAGCGCCGACTTCGTCGGTTGGCCGAGGCAAATCCAGGCACACAGTTTTTGATGCAACTTGTCCAACGACGCCCACTTAAGTTTCTCTCATAAAATGTGTCATGCTTCAACCATCTKAGAAGTTTGGACGGGTTCCTCTTCGACGGGTTCCCTCTTCAGAAGTRACTCCAACCYGATAGGSTATGCTTGTACATCCTTCATCAGAGTGTACAGGTACCAAAAGTTCRACCSTACATCAYGGCAAATYCGAAGAYGTCCTTCTTYCRCACTTTGCCACGAAGGGATTTCCGCGTCCGGGGCAACATCATTTTCGAGGTGCAGGTAGTCACGGTCCAGACCAGAGTGTCCAATGTCTTCCCAAATGTTCTTCGACAAAATGATCAGATCGATCTCTGRCRCTGAGGACTTCYWACTCTGCGACGAAGTCYCRATATCCATTCTGCATYAGCGGAGAAACGCAAGCAAGCGCGTCAGTTGTGATTCTCCTAAGTGCATAAGCAACAAATACAGGATCTTGATATGCACGAAAGGGTTTGATAATTGGAAAAAAAATGGTTCGCACATCGCAAGAGAGCGCAAGTTTTATAACCGCCGTCTCATGCCGACTTATTTTCTACACGTCATTCATGCGGGTCGATAAGTGAGAGTAGATTCGCACTTCGCAAATCAGCGCAAATCCTGCAACCACCGCCGACGTATGAAAAATAAGTGAGAGTAGATTATCACTTCGCAAGTGAGTGCAAGTCCTGCAACCGCCGCTTAATTTCGACTCATTTCCAACACGTCATTTATGTGGAGCGGTCAGAGTACTCTCCTATCGGGGACCATTTCCCTTACAGATATTCAGGATGTCCGTTGCGACAGTACGAACATTCGTACACATAATGGGTCGTTGACATACGATATTCCTCCTCTCGAAATACAGTCTCTAAGTTGTGGTCCCTATGTTCCACTATCCAGGAAATCTCGTCACAGTTATCGTGAAGGTAGTGCAACTGAGAGTGCACCGAACAGTCCACTCTGGAATTGAGCTCCTTCCTTAATGCCGCATCGTGCGACAACCGATCTCTGAAGCGTCCAAGCGCACCCTCGACCGTGGGGCTGCGAAACGCTTGCACAAAATTGAGGGCGACTCCTCAGAACTCCTCCCTTGCAATGAAAAGCACTTTCATGTTTCGACCGTCAACCTTCACGGTCGTGAACAGTGTCACGACCGTCGTGTTGCGGTTGAATACCCGAATGCGACCGTAATAATCTATGATGGCCGGTGCGGGCACAACGGGTCGTCCCAGGCAGAACTAGGCACAAAGCTTTACGTGTCTCCTGTCGGCGTCTGACCATCTCTGCTTCGCACAGTGGACGCGCCACACGTCCGTCATCTCTTCAGGACTGGCAGGTTCTGGATCTCCTTCCTCGTCGACGGGCTCTACATCAATTTCGTCTTCCAAGGAGTACAGGTACAAGAAGTTCCAACCCATATCTCTATCGACCACAAGGTCATCCGCGGTGGCGCCCATCCTCGATATCACGGGAACTTGCCCTCCAGGCGCAACATCCGATTCGATGTTAAGATATCGGCGTGAACAGTTTACTCGCTGATACTCCCATATATTCTTGTCCAAAATGAAGAGACCGACATCTGGAATCCGGTCTGTCGAGATGCCGCCGTGAGACGAGCTAGAAGCGCTTGCGCGGACCGAAGTCTGGCACGAGTTCATCCTGCATTACGTGAGGAAGTACGAGGTAGCATGTTAGTGGATCTGCTTCCTCGTCAATGGGCTCTACATCAATTCGTGTTGGAACCACCTCTTAATCTCGACTTATTCTTATCCG